TTGATTTTTCTTTTGCATTTATACAAAGCATGAAAACAGACAACAGAATTGAAACAGGTAATACAGGAGAGGTTAAGAAGACAGACTTAAACAGGGGACCTAGTTGATTTTTCTTTTGCATTTATACAAATGAAAAAGTATATTATTAGTAAATTAATTAGAGATTAGTGTAAATAACAACCCCAGAGGCACAAAAAACTGGAAAACGGAAATGTTGGCTGCAGTAATATGTTTATTTTTTAAAGATTCCTTTGTTTTTGTGGAAAAGGATATTAAATAACAGAAGACTATTACAATGTATGTGGCTGATATTGAAGTATCCAGTACAAATATACTGTGTATATATATATATATGTGTGTGTGTGTGTGTGTGTGTGTGTGTGTGTGTTTGTAATATATCAGTTTTTTATTCATTCAAATGTCGCTGTTCTTCTGTGGCAACTAGAGGTTGCTGTTCCCAGTGTTTGAGTTGCCCTCTCTTCCTGTCAGCCCACAGTGAAACCAGGCAGCAGCAGAAACAATGTGCACATTCCTCATTAGCCATTAAACTACACACAACATTGATACAGTTAAGACAGACTGGATTGGTCGGGGGTGATAATACTTAATGGTCTGGAAACAATATAAAATTGTGGATATGGTCTGTTAACATTAGATGGTGTCAGCCTCTACTTTTTTCTTTGTACTTGTACCATTAGGAATGCATTACAACATTACAGTGTCAAACACTGTAATGTTGCACTGCAATAATACTGTGCAAGGACCTCAATAACACATGTACATGCACACCTACTCTAATATTAACAGTTGAGTTTATCTGAATAATCCCCTATTAACTCAGAATAAGGAGTTTTATTTTGCATTGCTGTGTTTGTTGAGACCAGCACCAGGATTGCTACTAGGTACTTCTTTATGTCCATTTTGCAGAAATCATATACAGCTTATTTACTTTGTTCTTGCTCCATCCAGGAACAAAGTGAAAACATGTACTCACAAAATGAAGATATGGTTGTTCTTTATTCTGTACAGCAGACAGACTCTTAACAACTTTCTTTTGACAGTTTGACCTTTGAAGTTTATGTTTTGTTAACATGTCATTTTCAGGTGCCATGTCTGGAGGGTTCAATTTCCAAGTTAACGATGGTGTGAACTTCACCCCCAGGCAGATCTTTAGCATCACTGCCAGAGCCTTAGTTCTCAGTTTAGAGAAAAACCGCCCACTCAAAGTGTTTCCAGGTAAATAAATTCTGTAAAGAACTGAAACCATGTATTTTTGTCTCTCGGTCATTAATTTACATGGGCTCGTTTTAGTTGTACTTTACTGTGATATTATTAACCATACGCAGTACTCATTTCCTGTTTTTTGGTTGGCTTTTGTGGGGGCTCAGTTGAAGATTATATTTGCATGCCTGTGTTTGTGACACCTTGTGGTATTGTGTAGGACCTGCTTATTCAGTGAACATGGTGATTCATTTTTTTTATATGCCACATGCTACTTGCTCAGTAGCTAAAATTAAACAGACTGGGTGTAAACAGGTCTTAAGGTTTTATAAGATTTCCATTGGTCTGGTTAGGAAAGGATATCGAGAGGGCAGCAAACTGCCAACTGACACACTTCGCTGAGCTTCACTGAACTTCGCTGTCACAGGGTGGGAGTGAAAACTGTGCTACTGTCTGAGGTTTGTGCTTTGTGATAAGCATGGCAGAGAGGGGGGTGAAATAAGAGATCTAACAATGAAGGTTTTTGATGGGGTGAGGGGTCATATGAAACACTTTTACACTGTGGAGGGGAGATTGTGTGGATGCTCCCCATAGAGCTGCACAAAGGCTGCTGTCTAAATGGCTGCATATGCCTCATTAAGAAAACCAGCGTATACCTGAAAGCATTGTAACAGTAAATCATTTTGCTGTCGCCTGCAAAAGATGCTAAAGTAATTATTGCTGAGGATATTTACTTATAATTCTGTCATCCTGTATACACAAAACTTATTATTAAAAATTATTTAATTCAGTGTACTGGTACTGTTTTCAGTGGGACTATAAGGGCAGTAGATAAGAACCAGTTTGTACATAGCGTGTCCACTCACGTAGGAAAGAAAGTGTTTATATTATATATCACACAGTCTCTCCTGGCTCAGTTGTAAACACAGAAAAGTGTCAGAAATAGCTGTCACTGAAGAAAGAGAGTTGGAGAGAGAAGTTCAAACCCATCTATTTTGCTGGTTTCCCCCAAATCCCCTTCCTCACTGTCATTTTAAAAATGTATTATCTATATTAGGCTTCAGAAAGCAAAGACTTCCCCTACTGAATGTTTATGTTCCTTTAAGAGGAAACCTTCCCATGAGAGATTGACAAGGATAGTGGGAGTTCTCACAATAAGTGATGAAAGAATTTCACTATGCTGTGACCCATCTTTCCCTCTGTATTTATCTTTTTTAGTATTCCTACAATATTCACAGGGCAGCAGGGCATTGAAAATACTGTGTCTAGACGTGAAGGTGCAACGTGAGCAGCGTGTTAGCTTAGCAGCAGCAACTGCCATCACTCTGTCTGGAGATGTTCAGGCACAGTTTTGAATTGTAGGTCATCCATGTTTTGTGTGTGCTCAGATCCCATGACATAATCACCATAGTTACAGGTGACAGACGTGAAGCTTGAAAATACACTTTAGATCATGTGTATAGTAAAACATGGATGACAATGAATAAAATAGGGGCGTCTCTCTTCCTTCTGACTCGTATGAAGATTGAAATGCCCTCCGTGTAGACAAACTGTCATCGTACACAGGAGATTTTCTGTTATATATTCCCCAAGTGGAAAATTTCTGTGCCTGCAAGGAACTAATAAATTTTTAATTTCATATTTGGAGTTTATGTAACATGGCATACTGCAGTTGAACAGTGCTATAAAGAGTCTGTACCCATCAGTAAATTTCACATTTTTCCTCAAGGCTCTTCTACACCACTCACAAATGAGGAGCTGCAAGCAGTGACCAATGACATCAGCAACACCTCCAACCGCATCATTACATTTAGTGTGATTCGTCCACCTAAGCTGGGCCGTCTGGCGGCAAGGCAGCCCGATAATTCAACGGTAGACATTTCATCTTTCACGCAAGATATGGTGAGTGAAGAGCTCGAGGTCATGTGAAAACTCTTCTCTTATTTATATAGCTGTATTTTAAAATAGCACACAAGGCATGTGAACTAGAGTAAAATTAAACATTAAGGATCCTCCATTCATGTGGAAAGTTGCCAGATTCCCACTACATGAATAATAGATATTCTACCTGCTCATTCAGGAAACTGACTTTGTGCTTCTTGAGCTGATTGGAACATGTAAGGTCTTTATGTAATAAGTTATTTCTGATGGATTATGATCTGACACACCTAAAGCTGCAATGCTTTATGTACTGTATTTACTGCTGAGCAAAGTAGATTTAAATTAATGATGAAGTCTTTTATGTACTGTAGTAATGTATTTATTATTGCCATGCTGCTGATTAAACCATTAGTTCACTTTAGGGGTGGATGAGTTGAACATTGTGCAGATTTGTTGATGTAAATGTATTTTGGATCATGACACACCTGAGGAACTGTGGGTTTTCTGTACCACAGGTGAACAGGAAAGAGGTTGTGTACATTCAAACCCCCACTGAGTCAGTGGGCTGGGAAGCCGTGGACTCCATGACCTTCTCTGTGGCGTCACCACCTACTTCTCTGGACATCCAGACCTTCAAAATAGACATCTCCTATGAGAATAATAGACATGAACACAACACAGTTCTGCTTGCTAACACAGGTATGAACAGTATTCTCCAGCCATGCTACCAGCTCTGTGAGACTGCACTTAGACATGGTGGTGCTTTCAGCTAAATGTTAATGGCAAAATGCATATATACTCACAGTGACAGTGTTAACAAGCTGATGTAAAGCAGGCATAAGTTTTACCATGATCACAATCCTAGTTTTAACATTTTAGCATTACCTAATTTAAAAGTACAGTTGTGGTTAATGTGACTGTCATTAGTTAATATAATATTTAGTCATAATTATTAGTCGAGTAGAAATTTTGACCTGATGATGACGGAGCCAGAGAAAAATCAAGGAATCTCTAAAGTGTATATTTTTCTGGAGCGGATATGAATGTGTGTACCTAATTTTATGGCAGTCCATCCAATTCGTGGTTGCAGTGCAGGAAAAGTCAAGGGATCACAACTTTAGTAGGGTTAATTGATGACCAACACACCAACATTGCCATCCCTAGATAAACACTGTTGGCATGGTTAAAATCCACTGATTGGATTCTTGTTTTAATGTTTATAATACTTAAAATGTTGCCAACAGTGTTGTCCTTGGTGATTAACCTTTGCTTACATGGTGATAGGTGCTGAGGTAACAGAAGGGGAGAGTGTCGTCATTGACAAATCCAAACTTGATGCCACTAATTTGATGTCAAAGTTGCCGATGTCTCAGAGGAGCTCCCATGAGGTCTGGTTCCAGGTGACATCTCTACCTCAGCATGGTGTCATTGTGGTGGGGGAGAGAAACCTTACCAAGGAGAAGCCTAATTTCTCCCAGTTCATTGTCAACAAATACGGTATCACCTACAAGCATGACAACTCAGAGACAACTCGTGATTCTTTTGTATTCAGTGCATGGTTAAATCCTAAGGGCAAATCAGCACAGCGCCCTCAAGATGACATTAATGTTATTGAGGAGCATTTTAACATTACAGTCGTACCTGTGAATGATCAACCACCTTTGTTAAAAACCAAAGCTCCAAGTCTGGAGGTGGTACAAGGGGACACAGTAGCCCTCAGGCCTGAGAATCTCAAAGTCGAAGACTTAGACAATCCCCCAGAAGATATTAAGTTCTCTGTCATTAGCAAACCAAACAATGGTTACCTGGCATTTAAAGGAAGTTTGAATGAGTCGATAACTGCCTTCACCCAAGCCCAAATCAATAATGAAAGCATCTATTTCATCCATGATGGAAGTTCTGTCTCTGGCGTGTTCTACTTCAGTGTTACAGATGGTCATCATAAACCAATATATAAACTTTTTAACCTAGAAGTGACAGGAATTACCATTTCTCTGGTCAACTTCACTGGACTGCTGCTTGAGCAAGGCAAGACTTCAGTATCTCTGACCCAGGTCAACCTTGCTGCTGAGACTAATGGGAAAAACATCACCATTCACTACCAGATTACAAGGCCTCCAAGCTTTGGCAAACTTCTGAAGCATAACGAAGAGGTTACACAATTTGAACAGGAGGATCTACAGACTGGAAGTTTGTCCTACCATATGAGCTCCCTTTCTTCTGCTGAAGACAGCTTTGAGTTCACTGCCTTCACTTCAGAGGCAAACCTGACTGGCCAGGTACTTAACATCACTGTCATACCTTTGGTCCAGATTGGCAGAGGTTTTAGGATTCCCAATGGCTTTGCTGTCCCAGTCAACACTAGTTTTATCAATGCCTCTAAACTGGCTAGTATGAGTGATAGTGACCCTGTATTTGAAATTATCTCCCATCCTAAGTATGGAAAGGTGGTTCGGATGGTACCTCAAATGTCCCAGAAAGCTGCATTAGCCGAGTCCTTCTCTTTTCAAGAGGTCATTCAGGAGAAGGTAGCCTTGGAGCTGAATGCCAACATGAGTGGAGTTCAAGAGCTAAATGACTCACTGGTGTTTCTGTTGAAAGCTGATAACATCCAACCTGCTAAAGGGGAGTTCCATTTTACGGTTGTGCCATATGAACCAGCACTTTTTCCAACCACAAAGAATCCTGTCCCAGCCACATCATCTGTTCCTCAGACACCAGTGCAGACTTCCAGAAAGGGAACTGCATCACCAGACCTGTCTACAACATTCCTCTCCACCCAGCAACCAAGCAAAAAGCAGCAAAAGGTCAAGGGACGCAACCGCTGGGGTAACTCCAATAGAACTAGCATTTTTAGTACAACTCTTGGCAAACCAACACATGGAGCAGAGGAATTCCCCTTTAGGAACACACCAGTCCGTGTGGAGTCTTACCCTCAAACAAACTCCAATCCACTTCTGATTATCCTACCCCTGCTGGCCCTACTGCTGCTTGTAATCATCTTTGTAGTTGTCGTTGTCTTTCTTCGACACCAAAGGCAAAGGAAGCAGAGCAGTGCTACACCAAATGAACCACCTTCTCCTTGTCTTCCAAGCAGTCAGTCGTACACGGAGCAAATCCTGAGGGGCACAACAGTTCCCACAGTGACTGTTACCCCATTAAACCCCACCTGCCCAGGTAGCCCTGTTCTTAATCGGTCATTGGTGTCAAATCACAGCTCAGATTATAACACCACAGATTCAAACACACTCATAAGTTCTTGGAGTAATGGTTCCCCTGGGATGTCTTCTCAAATTATTAGGAACACCACTCCCACTCTGCAGAAGAATCAGTACTGGGTATGATCTTCCACACACCCCCTTGTAGCTATACATGTAGGAGAATACTGTTACAGGTTTTGTGTACTTAAATGGGGCTGGAATAAATTATTACATTACATTATGTTGAAAGTTATCTTAAAGCTGCATTAATCAACATTTTTATATTAATGGTTAATCAATTTGCAGTGACATGTAAGGTTTCGGTCATCATGTGGGTTTCCATCCATCTCAAGAGCTGATGGAACCCAAAGCAAAGCTAAAAGACTAGTGAATACTGGACTTACATTCTAATGCCATAACGTTTCTCTGTGGCTGCTGGATGTCCAACACCAACCACTGCTGAATACTGATTTGGTGGGACAGACTTGGTTCACTTGAGAATTTACAAAGTGTTCCTCACTGTGGTAAATAATAACCTATGTTTGGTGCCTAATGCGTGGTTACATTGACTCTCATTGCTATCTGGTCCTCATGCATGTTGAAGTCTCTCCCATCATGAGTCCTCAGAGCAGGAGTCGATGCTAATAACAGCTTGAAACTGTGAATTACTAAGACTGACGCTGGCACAGAGATGCATTGTTTAAGCATTTAAATCGATTGTACATATTTTATGTATTTTACAGTATGTTATAGTATAACAACTTTTTTGTAAACTCAGGTATTTTTTTGCCATTTTATGTTATCTTTAATGAGGGTTGCATGTATTGTCAATAATTAAGGTATTTGTTTAACATTACAGGATTGAATATTATAACACTGTCACAAATGGTTCCCGGCCTGGCTGGATATTGAAATGGACACTATAATTATCTTGTACCTCTATTAAAATTATTTCTTTATAGCCCTGATCAAATCACATTTGGTACAGTGTTAGCACTGTTTTTCTTATGTATTTTATTTTACAATCTACAGCTTTTTATTTATTGTCAAGCATGTATAAAAAATAAGGGCACTGATCTTAAAGAATCTACACTGTGCTCAACCACCTTCACCAGAGACTAAAAGTCAAACAGTGGGATCACTCTGTAATCTATTAACAGGTTCACCTATAGTTCAATAGATAATGGGGCCACCTACTTTTAGAGAGCGTGAGCTGGGGGAGGGAATCATCGTCTGATGTGAGCTAAGTATCTGTCAGTAGGAGAAGTTGTCAGGCAGCAGTTTTGTAGTACATCTTTAAAAATACTGACAGGTCTTTGGTAGAAAGGTTTGACTGAAATTTATGCCGGTATTTATATAAATTATTTAATATAGATAAGCATGTTGACCTTGTCCTCAGTTTTTTCACATGACCTGCTGTAGGCTTTCATTGTTTGACACTGTAATGCTGTAATGCAAAGTACTGTCCACCCAGTCTATGGGAGATGAGAACAGATAACAATGGTAAACTTCATTTTGTACTGAAGAGAAGCGTATGTCCAGTCTCATCTGAATGGTGTAAACTACTATGTAAGAGAAATGTCATATTTATTTATACCATATTTTTAATAAACCACTTTCTGCAATTATACTGTGTGATTATATAGCCTCTGCAGTCATTTTGACTTGTTATCTGCCCATTTTATAACTAGATTTATTGGCATCCAAATGGTCTCTTAGATCTTCCACTTTAATTTGTTTTTTGCACTTTCCTCTACCACTATAATTCAGACTGTGCTTTCAGTCTGTTGCCCTCCTCTTAATGGCACCTAACTTGTTGCAACAAAAGATACAAGGCACCAGAGGACCAATTAGGAAAAGATTATCATCATCGCTTCTTCCAGCTTCCTGCAATTATCTTAATTGAGGTTTTCTCACATCCAAAAACAATCAGATCTTTAGGACTGTACATGACCTCCACTGAGACGCAGTGTGTTTTCTATCTCAGTAGGAGACGTGTTGTTGCCAAAGCAAATGTCCTCTAAAAGTCTCGCTGGCTGTCTTGAAGGTAAACACGTAATGTGATCTGGAAAAGCACCGGGATCTTTTTCTGCAGCTGAGTCAGTCGTGACTAACCGTGACTGTGTTTTCATTAAGGGTGTCTGTGACGTGAGAAACAAAACTGTTCAAAGTTTTTAGAGGTTTATGTTTGTCTTTGCTGTGTAGACACCAAAAAATGCACCCAGCTCAGGACTCAGTCAGTGTCGCTGTGCTGAAAGCTCTTGTTGACAGTGAGCTAATAAAGGAGATGAACAGTGGTGTCACATGTGAGCTGGAAACTTAGCACAATGGTGTAAGGAGCCTGCTAGCAGGACCTTCACTGGGATGCTGACACAACAGTGTCATTTATTAAAAAGAAATTTCAACACAACCCTGACAAACCTCTAATCCATCCATCCATTTTCTAAACCACGTAGTCCCAAACGGGGTCACGTGGGTGCTGGAGCCAATCCCAGCCAGCTGCGGGCAAAATGGCAGGGTACACCCTGGACAGGGCGCCAGCCCATTGCAGGGC